CTGCAAATATGTGTTAGTGTGGATGTGTGTGCAACAGTGCTCCATGTTAAATTTGTCATTTTTAGTTGACATTCATATTGTAAATCAAAACCAAATGAAACAAATTCAGCTCTTATCTTTACCATATTTTTTTTAAATATATTAATATCATAAAAAATATAATCATTTAATCAAAAACAGCTTTTAGTTCAAGCAAATGCATTTATCCTGCATTTTGTTTCGTGAATATCATAGCAATTTTTCATGGAAGGCCAATAGTAATCAGCGTTACAACTATGACGTCATAATAGGGATGGTATAAACAATTCGGCCGTGACATTTGAATCTGATATGAATGTCATTTGAATTTGACATGGTTCTTTAGAGAGGAAGCCATTCAATGGTAAACATAATAGTTGAACTATTGTGTTATCGTATCCGTTTCACGCTAATTTTTGTACTCATAAAATTACACTCACTTAATTGGTGTATTATTTGTATGACATATAGATGAATTTCATGGCGTTTTTATAACTTTCAGAATTCCATGATGATCGATTATGCACTGTCACGCGTTTTCATTGGATTCAAAACGCCAAGAGGACAGATCTGTAATTTTTGAAAGGGAAAGTTTGAATGTTGATTGACACTGATGAAAACACATTCAGGTTCTAGCCTCGTCTATCAATACACCTATAATATAATCATGGTTGCTAACTCCGTCCCCCTTGTAAAATGACCCAGTTCTAGAAAACATGCCATTTTGTCATAATAGTTCATAGTATGACGCCGGGAGCAGTCTAGATCGACAGGAAAATATGTTTTCGTTAATTTGATGTATGATTTGCCCTATATGATGCAGTATAAGTTTCGGTAGACTTCATGAAACATCGAAATATGGTCGAATTTCAGTTGGTCGGACATTGTGCTGTCCACAGGATAACACGCTAAATCCCTAGTGGGTAGCGCAAAACAGACGGTATGTCCGGTATTCAATGTCGATACAGTATTTCTACGATAGAAAACAAACTTACTTGAATGATAGTTCATGCCCTTAAGTTATCTTGTCGGACACCCGAGTCCAGTTTTCAAGCTGGTAAGGCTGACGATCGGAAATCTGAACAGAGGCTGCCATTTTCTCTAACTCTTGTGACCTCCGCACTGATTGGCTTCTAAATTTAACGGACCAACCAGCAGCGAGGTCACAAACGTTCACCTAGAATGCCGCGTACACTACTACATGTCCCGAGCTAAAATGCAGCGTACACTTCTACATGTACCGGCCTACAATGACAGGTAAACTAATACATGGACCGGCCTAGAATGACAGGTAAACTACTACATGCACCGGCCTAGAATGCCGTGTATACTACTACATGTCCAGACCTACAATGCCGCATACACTACTACATGTACCGGCCTCAAATGCCGCATACACTACTATTGCCGCATACACTTCTACATGTACCGGTCTGGAATGATGCATACACTACATGTACCGGCCTAGAATGCCGCATACAACATGAAACCAGAGGCCTAAGGGCCTTAACGATCACCTGAGTTATATTAAAGGTACTGGTAGCTCAATTTCGTTGTTGAAATGTGATAAAACAACATGTAACTAAGTTAAATACAATACTTGTCATGTCATCAAAGGATAAGCACTATTATAAAAACTATTCAAATTATTTTGCTATTGAGAAATTTAATATCTATTGTCATTCAGCCAATTTTTCTCTTTGACCAACACCTGGGATAGGTTAGTATCTTTCTTTCTAATACTATTTGATTTCAATTTCATTATAACAATTCCAACCAAGTTTAAATTATTTCTTTCTGAAAATGAATAAGATATAGTCAGAAGTGTTATTTCCTTATACAAACCAAGGAGAACAGATGATTAAAGGGCAATAAAACTATCAATTTATGTTATGTATAAATGATGCAACTTGAAGCATTTCCATCCATAAAATTGAATCTTGGACACCTGAGTGCAGAGACTTTTTCATTATCAATCATTTCCCCTTTTTGCGCCATCCCTCCAGCCCCTGGGGCACGGACGGATATGATATTTTTCATACTGTCTGATTGCTATCTCTTTGCAATTATTCCAACAAAGTTTGAATAATTTCTTGCCGAGATTAGACAAAATATACCAAAAGTGTTATTTACCTATATAAACTTTATACACGACTTCAGACAGGGCAAGCTTGTTGGGACCAAACTAATGATTGAATTGAAACTGACTGTTTATTTTGTAATAACGACAATTGAAAATATTTCCAAAACATAAACCAATATGGAACATGTACATAAAATAATCTGGTCCTAGGTGAGGATAAAACCGCCACCTGGATAATAAGTAACTAACAGGTAAGTACAACAATACCAGATGGAGGATGATTGGGAGGAGGCGGGTGAAAAATATTGCACTTAAAAACATAAGACTGACCTTGACCACTGTCCATCTGTAAGAGTGTGGGCGATGTAGTAAGTTGATGCAGCGTAGTGAGTTTATATAACCATATTCGTGCGCTTGACCAATTCACCTCTCTAACCCCAACACCATCCACTGTTTACAAACATTAAGTAGGAACTATTTGTATATTGTAAACATAACCTCAAGTGAATAAATCAACAACAGCATGTATGGAATTTATCAAAATTGTATTTCAATTGTTTATTATAAATGACTTTAGACAGGGCAAGTTGTTGGACCAAACTGATCATAAATAACCAAACACATGGTTGAATCGAAATTGGCCGTTTATTTTGTATAAACGAGAATTGAAAATATTTCCAAAACATTAACCAATATGCAACATGTATATACAATAGTTTGGTCCAAGGTGGGAAAAAAACGCCACTAAGGTATCTAATGAATGTCACATTTTGTACATGCTCAGAAACCGTCCCCCACCTGCAGTCCTGACTGAACATATCAAAACTGATGGTTGTACATGAAACACACTGACAAAGTTAGAACAAGCAAAAACAACATCGAGGCAAATAAATAAGTCACCCAATCAAAAGACATGTGCAATTGCATCAAAACATACATATGTAATTCACCTGGTCACAAAATCCATTTACAGTTTGAAATTAGAGTACTCCACACACATTGTCCCATATAAGACACTAACAAAGTCAGATGTCGTCCTGTGTGTATATATGGTTTGGAGGATCTAAAACAAAGTTCTCCGTGTTCACCGTGGCTTTTGTAGAATTGAGATGTAGCTTTCAGTCACTCATCCTAACATACTGATATATACAACTTGGGGCAAAGTATACAATTAAACTACCTGGACCCTATGCCCAGGATAGCTTAGTAGCATATTATAAATGATAATTAAAACATATTTTAACACAAGTATCATTGCAACAACTAAAATCCGAGAATGAAAAATAAACGTACGACATGAAGAATGCCAGTAACTTCGACCATATGCTCAGGTTATCCTTCCTAGTGTACATAAGCCATATGTTATGGTTATCATATTGGTGTATACATACAATTACATTCAAATATATCAATGTACATAGCAACCAGTAAATTATCAAAATCAACCGTCCAGAAAATTTCCCAGTTTACACTATTTCTAGGAGAGTTTAATCAATATCCCCACTTCAATGAAATCAGTGGCGGAATTTCAAGACTCACAACCGTTCGGTTTGGCACCAATTTGATTTTCAGACAGACTAAGGGATACTTTTTTTTAAACGAATTGTAAGTGACAAGGCTCCTTCTAACTATATATTTATATGTCAAACAAGACAGATACCACCTGTCAATGTATCCACCTAACACGTGTGTTCTGTAAGTAGACACCAGTTTCTCAAAAGTTAACTTTAACCACTGGTTAGTGAAGAATTCAAATTCCTATCAATAATAATCAAGGTCTGTCGATGAAAAACAAATCCTCAAAACATATTTGACTCAACCAGTCTGTTGCAGTGAACAGATGTTCTTGATTTGGTTGTGTTCATATTTTCCCCAAATCACTGGTAAACTATAGCCAGACTCTGAGCAACCGTGGCAAGTGTATCAACTAGCGATGGATCACAAGATTAACATCTAGACAATTTTAGTTACATTTAAATTCATTTTTGCAAATGAGGACCAAATTCGTTTGTGTTATTCTCTTATTTTTGGGTTGAGGGCATCGCAACAGCTAAGTTTATTGGAGGATTGGTACCTAGGACGCTACGCACTGAACGGGAAGAATAGAGAAGGGAGACATGAAACAATTAGTGTAGTAGTGATCGTGGTAAAGTAGTAGTGTAGTATTAAGTTTAGAAGTAACGTAGCAAAGCGATTTAAAAAGTATTAGATGCAGTGTTAAAATTTGTAAGGATTTTGTAAGGAGAAAAAATAATACGGTAAATATCAATCGCAAATTCCTAAGGAAAAATTGTATAAACAAATATTGTCGAAAAGATTATTTGTCCTTGCTCCGTAGCGGTATCAGCCCTTTTGTTTATCCATTTACAAGTTATCATCATCTGAAGATGTTTTCAACGAAATACAAATATGGTCTATGTAAAATTGTATAATCTCCGGGAGGTCAGCCATTCCATTTCTACAATTTTGATGCAGCATCACATAAGAAGAATGTTTACAGAAAATAATGGTGACAATTAAGCAGTACAGAATAAAGGCCTTTATAGGAAAGCTGTAGAACGGTCGTTAGACGACACGGTATGAAATAAGCTCACCTTACCTCCGGAGCAGGTAAACATGCCATATTAAGGTCGGGTATTTGTCATCAGAACGATGCTGATAATGATGATGATGATGTTGATGGTGATGATGTTGATGATGATGATGATGATGATGAAAGTGATGCTGATAAAGTATTTTCTAATGGACCCCTGCAGGCGCTGGAGTAGACCTGCTTTATTCATTTCATGCTGTCAAAAATACGACCAATTGGGGGGAAACGGAGGGGAGGGGGTTGGGGGGGATGTAATTATTGACGTCTACCTGAAGGTGACAATCTTCCAACTCACTACACTGACGGCTGTTTTGACCTGTCAATAGAAGATATTGAGATAAAGGAAATAATATTACATAAATGAGCGTTATATTGTGTACTTCATTACAGATCAGTCCAGTCCATAGCAGATCTTACATTTTTACAAAAGGAAGTTCAAAGGTATTGTCACGATTAAGATGAACCATGTACAATCAAGCATTTTATGACTGAATGTTCCGATTTTAACATAAATGCGTGACACATTGTATAATGTAACGACTATGAAAGATTGTTTGATACAGCTTCAGTGCCATTAACATTTGACTACTCACACTCACTTGATCCACACGATACGATGTTATATATACTTTCCACAACTGATTCGTTTGCTATTGATCTTTGTTTGCTATTTTTTTAACTTTTCACCTATACAGTTGTTATATGAAGTATTAATTTTTGTGAAGGTCTAATTTTACGAGGTTGTTATGCCTTAGATGACTTGCATTACCAATAGGCCGTCAAACATTGAAACACAAAGACAAAACATTAAAGGATATGATCAAAGATTTTTCAAATGCCTATCACGTACTCAGGTCAACAGAAATCTGTCAAACAAATCCTTGTGTTTCGAACTATTGCCGCGCGGTATCGTGACTTACACGAGCTGTGGTCTCTCGCATATAACCCATTCCGGATGTCGGGCTCTACAGTGTATGTCAAAATGGGACGATAAACCGAGTATTACGCAATCTGCATTTCCTGGTTCGGCAGGGTAATTGGCATCATAGTTATTAAGCAATGTGTTCGACCACATTGACATGTTAAGTTTTGTTCCATCAATCCACTCCCAGTGTCCCTCCTTCATCTCATCCGTCAGGCCAATGAAAACGTAGTTTTTGTTGATACCTGTAAAAAGCAAACGTAAACACAATCATTCTGAGGAAATACCCAACAACTACAGAGTTATGAATACCATCTAAGTGTTGGTGAGGAGATTAAAGGTGACCTATTGAATAATAGCGGGAAGTTGGAAAGGTACCGGTTCGGGACTTTGGAAGATATTTGGCTCTAACGGAACAAGCTACCTACAGAACTAAGGAACGGTACATCATGTAAACATATTTTTAAGTAAATGAGATGGGAATCAAATATTTTACACTAAAAATGCTTCACATCAAAATTAAAAGTTGTTCTTACTCTTAAAAATACTGTAATCGAAGGTTAATTACAAAAGGCACCCTCTGATTCTGAAAGTTTCTCTAATAAAAAAATGTATAAATAAAAGAGGTACAGCTAGCGCACCTCAGCTTGTTTCAACTTAAACGTGACCAATCATAATAAAGAACTATGTTTAATATACTATAGTGAAGAAACAGGAAAAAAGAAATCTTCAACGCTCAATTAAATAAAAGACGTTAAGACTTGCTTAGCTTGCTTCAGAACTATGGATCTGGTTAGGATTTTTCACGTTACCGTGTCCAGATACGACATTCCCACTGTGTTGTCACTTCAAAAAAGCCATGAAAAGCTCCACTGTCGTCGACAAATATCTTATATGACCTTATAGCTGTTTGCAAGAATAGAAAACATTTACAAATAAAAGCTTGGCATGATCTTCTTTAACATAATTAGTATGACCTGAGTAATTACACGGCCGTCAAACCACGACAATGAGAAAGCCGTTTATATAACTTATATTTGTTCCATAGCGTTATTACATACTTCTCATATATTTTCTCGCTCCTCTTATCTGAGCATTGGTAGTCAGCACGAGTAGTCTCCCTTGATCCGTTTCGCATTTCGCTTTTGCGTCGTTCCAAGTGAACTCTCCTTTTATTTCATTAACGCAGAGATTTCCGTCGTTGACAAATGTGTATCCGGACCTTTCACAATCTGAAACAGATAATTATTGATTTACTGAGTTACTGAGGTTATACCACTGCATAGGTTGTAGGAAGACAGGTGAGCCCAGATGACGTGTAAACTTTACAATGACATTGTATTGATACGTCAAAACCTTGACATCGTGGAATCAACCAGCTATTTTCTGCCTTCAAGAAGTGATGTTTTAAGATATCAAGGTAAGAATTATTCACTCTGCTGTTATATTTCGCCCTACATTAAAAGATCGGTTGAAGATACTGCTGTAGAAATAAGCATACTGCAAAAAAAAAATCTAAAAAAAAAATGACCTGTGACTTTCTACGGCATTGGCTTCACTACATACAGATAACAACTGAATGTATCTTCCTCCAGTTGTAAAATTGCATTTTATGAAATAAGTTATCTCGTTATTCTGCTTCCTACCTGTTTTACTCATCTTGGAAACTTCAATGACAACAACAGTATTTGCTGATCCCCCGAAAATAGTGAAAGGGCCGGAGCATAGAATGTTTTACAACGAAACATTAGCTTTGTTTGTTAGACAACACTAAATAACTCACTAATAGCAATCCTGTGCTGATTCGGAGAAAGAATAAACACCGTGTCTCCCACTGAATGTCTTAAAAAAACTAGTATTATGAATCTTACAGAATCACAGCAATTTCTTCTATGTCTTCTGCATACAAGACATTGGTGAGACAAAACATTGATCTGCTGGGTTCACTTTAACACTTGGGATTTACATCTCTTCTTTTCTCCCTTACCTTCACCTTCTGTTCGGCGATATCTCCCTAGCCACACGTCCTCATATGACTTTAGCTTTTGCGAGGACGTTAAACTCCAAAGCAAGCAAACTTGTTTCCACCCAGCATCAAGATCGTTCTCACATATGAACCTAGCTTTATGTCAACCTTCTTTAATTTTGGTCTTTAACTGGTACATGAGTGATGACCTTTGGGGAAGCGATCATTTCCATATCGTCCTTAAGAATATTTCTTTTGCACAAAGAAATTCACAAAGAAATTCCACATAACTGATAGAGATTTTTTTGCGGAATAAAATTCTTAAAACGATGATAATCCTATTAAAATAAACATTCCAAATTATTTTGAATATTACTTAACGAACTATTGTAAAATCTTCGTTAAAATCGAAATATTGGATTTCAAGATTAATGAAGATTTCAAATAATACACTTACTTTAAGCAATTTAAACACGGTGGGAATAGCTCTATAGTTATTGGCCCTCATCATGCTATATTTGCGTCGCCACAGGCCGATACAAAAAGTCTCTGTCCAATAACCTCCGTAGAACAATACAGAAATGACCGAAGTCCTTTCCCAGGAACAACTTAATCCGTTTTCTGTTGATTATTTTAATTTTATATATATATATTTATCTATATCAAACTAACTTATGCAGTAAATAAAAAAAATGATTCTCACAAAAAGAAAAGTAAAGTAGAAAAAAATGATGTTGTGGTGATTACAGTAGCTAGACACAAAATTCATATACCTAATCAATATTTATATAATAAAGAAACATATTTATAAAAAAATCCTCAACCGCAAGGGAACGTTATAAATATCGCCCTCCTTCTCGACCCCGACACCTTAATCAAAACTGGATCCAGGTTTTCATATGTTTGTTTTTTTATTTAAGTGTGTTTAACTTTTTACGTAAAACTTAGGTCATTTCAGGACAATACTTTGTGTAAATACGCTAGAGGTGGTATGTTAGTGTACTCACCTCCTCAAGATAGGGCTACCGCAACAATAATACCATGTAAAAGGCACTCAGAAGAGTCACATTACACTGACAACGGGTTCAGCAGTTGTTGCGATTACTCTTTATGCTGAACGTTAAACGGAATTACCACTACCATTTGTAAGGATTTACGCATGTTCTGGTTTGGGAGCAGAACCAAAGGTGTTTAGTGTTTCAATTTATTAGGTGCAATATATTTATGTTGGTTGTTTTGTGTCCCAAGTAGAGGGCAAAAAAGCAAATCCCCAATACTACAGGGCACTCACACATTATTCGCCTCTTTACAACATGCATTGGGGAAACAACAGGTATATAAACAGGTGTTTAGTGTTGCAATTCATTAGGTGAAATATATTTATGTTGGTTGTTTTGTGTCCCAAGTAGAGGGCAAAAAAGCAAATCCCCAATACTACAGGGCGCTCACACATTAATCGCCTCTTTACAACATGCATTGGGGAAACAACACGTATATTCTTTTCTCTGTTTGCAACCTGCAGGGATGAGGCATTTCATTTTGTTTTATATACATAAAATCATATTTATGAAACGATTTAGGGTTATTTATGATTTATCTTCAAAATTACTGAAACTTTAAATGCCTTACAAATACTGCACGTGTGAGCTGTCTATTCCCTATGTAGGTAAAGAGAGAGACACTTACTTGTATAACCTTTATAGACAAGACGTGGTACACTGAGTACAGCTGGTATTGTGTTGGTGGAGCCGATTCCCATGAACACGTCACATACTTTAGTCAACTTGGAGAATTCAAACATGAAGCAAAACACTTGAACAAGACAAAGCAGGGCACATTCTAACCAGGATGACGTCACTTTCGAGAAAAGCAGATCTCCACACATCTGGCTTGATTGACTGACCACGTGGGATTTCCAGGTTTCTGATGCAAGAATCGCCATGGTAATGTCTGTAATATAATAACTCATATTTTTTATGACATCTTTCACGTTTTCATGAATTATGGCCGAATTACTGTTAAAGTTAAAAATAATATCTGCCACAAGTAAGGAAAAATATACGCATTTTCTTATCGAGGCATTGCTAGTTGCTAAGCCATGTCATTTATTAAAGCACCTTTTCCTTTAGTCTTGCATGTATAACATTGTGCCATTAAAGCACGGTTTCAGTCCTATTATAATAATAATAAATAATGTACAAAATTTATATAGCGCCCAATATAATTTGTAAAATTATTCTAAAGCGCTTTACAACATATGGATAATAGTAATGTTTATACTTTTGAAAACAAAAAACAAAGGCTTACAATCACTTTTATACATTTAAGCAGGCAGTGTGCACATAATTGAACAAATAAAAGGGTGGTATTTACATGACGTCTTTGCAAGAATTCTAAAATGCAGAAGTGAAGAGGTATGTTTTGATGCCCCTCTTGAACTTGGCCAGGGTTTTTGACTTTCTAATAGCAGATGGTAAGCTATTCAACAACGTAGCCGAAACTCTCCCAAAGCATATGTTTCCGTAGGTCACAGTACGAATTTTTTGGACACACAACAAAGATTCTGACTCCGACCGCAGTGATCGTGACAGCTGATACAAGGTAACAAGTTCCTGTAGGTACTGAGGAGCTGTTCCATTCAGTGCCTTGTATGTGAACACCAGAATGTTGTACTGCGACCTGTATCGTACAGGTAACCAGTGCAACGAATAAAGCACAGGTGTGATGTGCTTTCTCTTTCGAGTACGAGTAACTAGCCGTGCTGCAGTGTTCTGGACCCTCTGCAGACGACTAGTTAGTTTGTCAGATATACCACAGAGCAGGGCGTTACCATAATCCAACCGAGAGGTAACAAGTGAATGCACCAAAATTTTGCATGCACCTGCTGTTCAGCCGATGTTCCTGATCTGGTAGTAACAGGATTTGGCAATAGCGTTCACTTGTTTCTCCATGTTCAGTGAACTATTAAAGTATACCCCTAGGTTTATAACAGCTGGAACAGTCTCAATAGTTCTGGAACCGACCTTGAGTTGGAGATTCATTGTTTGCTGACACTATTGTGTCAATGTATTTACTAAAAAAGGAACTACATTTAATGATATGTGGATTTTAGAAAACTCAAAACGATCGTTTGATCAATCTTAAACATCCTCTCCTAAGAAAGTTTATTCTATCAAAACACTTTACTTTTTTCATTCAACACACTACCGTACTTCTTACCAAATTAAGGGAACGCCTTTATTCTCTTATTATGAGAGCTTTCGATTCCAAGGAAGGCGAACGACGATAATAATATATGGTTGTAAATGATAGGTGTCTCGATGAAGCAAAATTTGTTAACCTTTCAAAGCCCTTTGATATTCTCCTAATTTCATCGAGTTTAATTTCGATTTTTTTTTTCTCTTCTTGTTTTTATGACCTGTGTCAGGCCGTGACGACAAACCCTCTATGGTTTTGTCTATTTGACATTAATTAAGCCGCACAAGGTCAAAATCATATCAAAGTATTTGATATCGTCTGACCATCTTTGTTGTTGACTCCTGCAGGTATACCCCGAAGGTTTGAGAAAGTATCGAATTGCTTGTCTTCTATTAAGGACACATTGAAGAAATCAAGAATAAACCTGCTGTGTTCCTTTTCTATCTACTTTCTATTTCAGGCGGTGTCTCTCCCTAGGCACCCGTCCTTACGTGACACTGGCTGTTGCAAAGACGTTAAACACAAAACACACAAAGTTAGGCGGCCAACGATCGGTATAAGACACATATTTTCAATTGGTGTAAGGCAACCTTTTTGACTGGAATAAAAATATACAGCTGATCTCTGCAGACTTGAACAAAGGAAAAACATTACTTCTTAGATTATAATATTTGCAGGTAAATGATAAGTTATTCAAGGTATAGACGACAGCAAACATGAAATAAGTTCGACCTATCAAGATATTTAAATGAAAATATATCTCGCTTTGACATGTTTAGACATTAGAATACCGAGATGTAGACGTAACGAAAATCGATATCGTTATAAATATTTTACAGGAAAAAAAACATTTGCTTTTGTTCTATTACATGTATTATGCGTTCCGTCGTTTAGCCTGACAACTTAAAGGTAGATGTAATGCTTATATGAACTTTATATAGAATGTATACAGTAAAACCTCGATATAATGCCATTGTTCAATCTGCCGCCTCGCTTACCGCCAATATATTACAAGAACTCTTTTATATGTTTCCTTCAATTTATCGCCAAACAACTTTATAATGCCAACATTTCTATGGAGAAATTGTGGCAATGTAACGAGGTTTTATTATACATATAAACAGAATAATAGATATATTTATTTGAATACGTCTGAACAGCCTATCATCACAAAATGAGCATGTGCAATAAAGGGCAGCAATGAAAACAACGTTCATCAGAACAATGTCCCCTTACGCGTCCGTCTTGTAACGAATTCAGATTCTGAGGAGGGCGTTAAACCCAGAACAAAATATAAAAAATATTAAAAAATGTCTTAATCCAGCACAACTTGAATGATAAATCGGTAAAAACTTTGTTAGATGACATGATATGATATTCTTACAGGGGAAACAATTAAACAAAAAAATACTAGTTGTGTGTTAGGTATTTTTATCCATATATACTTTGGTACGTTTCGGCAAAAAAGTTTGGAAGTAAAGTAACAATTTTTTACAGGCTTACTGCTGAAAAAATCATTGATTTCATATTGAAAGATTCATTAACTTGTTTCTGGATAGTAATATGTGAACATAGTATATATTCTTGTAAATAACCCCGACTATTTGTCATTGTTTGGGATTTAACGTCCAATATATATCAGGACGGGCGCCTAGGAAGAAACTGCCGGGAAAAAAGGGGAGCAAAGAAAATATCCAAACAATATCGTAGAAGACACGAGAGAACATCCCAATTCTGATTGAGAAGGCCCACATAAGTAGCTTCTTACAGTACCATGCTGTGGAATACAGCAGATCTGTTCTTTACCCGAACCTAGGAGATTATTTCACCGAACCTGGAAGAGGACCAACTGATCGTTTATTTGAACAAAAAATGTGCAGTTAAAATATTCCGATCAAGATGTTTAGATAAATATGGAATTACCTCCTTCCAAATTCCAATGAAAATAATCCTGTCGTCTATGAATCAACCATCGAAATAACTGCATTTATTACATTTTTGACAGTGAAATATCGGATTCTATCAACTTGATAAAACTGATATCTTTTACACTGTGACAAATATCAAAAGGGATGTGAAAATATCACTTTTTGGTATTGACCAATCATAATAGTATCTTCTATTCCCTGCATTATAAGGCAATATTTTTTGTTGTTAAGATTTAAATGAAGCGTTTGTAGAATAAGTGGTTGATATGGTAAATGTTTGGTACACACACTTAAGTATTTACATAAATATACAATTGATAACGTATTATTAGCTATCATATCAGAAAGTAGCCGAAAACTTCGGAATTTCGCTGAGTATCCCATTCCAAATGGCGCTAATTGTTGACAAGCGTGACGTCATTAGAATATGGCGCTAATTATTACGCTTCTAATTCCCGCCTTTTTTAACGCATTACATTATTCATGTTTTATGCTTCAAAAATGTAATAATTAGAAAATTTCATCGGATCTTCAGAAATAACAAGTATATTTCACGAGTGTGGTTAAAATTTTGATTTATCACATAATCGGCCTGTTATCCAGTGAATTAGCCTGTGTAATATTTTTACATATGTCACTAGTGTAATATATTCTGGAGCGTTTTTCATTGGCTGTGCCAGTCACAAATCGATTATTAACGTCATAATATGGACAATAACGAGACGTCATCAATTGTCAATTGCGCAACAAAATGGCTGTCTCCGTTTGATTAATCCCTCTACATTTTGGCTTTAAAACCTGTCAAAATGTAAGTTTCTGTGATAAAAAGTATCTTAAATTGGGCTTCATTTCATATGAGCTTTTATGAAACTCGTCTTGAAGTTTCAATTTTTGCACGCCAAGACTCGCAAAAAAGACTCGTTTCATAAAATTTCATATGAAATGAAGCCCAATTTAAGAATGAAAAATATCAAAATATTAGCCACACTTGTGAAATATACTTGTTATTACTGAAGACACCATTAGATATTCTCTATTTCCTAAATAACAATGCCGCTCAAATTCTAACAAAGCTTTCGCCTTTTTTTATAATTCATTTAAATATTTATCACTTTTCCTATTATTTGGTGACGTTATTAAGGTTTGGAATTCATGTTTACAGCATATATTAGGCAATAACAACAACGGCCTTCTGTGCATGTTACATAAATCGCATTATCAGGTTGCTTCATAGCGGAGGGCGGCAATATTAATCAATATGAGTAATTCGGTCGACATATATCAATACACACTGTGTTGAGGTCATCTGCGCTTTGCAAATATGAATGACATTCTTAGCATAGGATCCAAGCATACAGAATGTAAATATTGTGTGGAGAACATAGTATGTTTATAAATTATTGGCGGATTATCTTAATTCCAAATTTGCCCTAATCATTAAGTTAAAAACATAATAAAATGTAATATGCTTCCAAGTTTCGTTGACTTGAACGTTTCTAATGTCTGATTCATAGTTCCGTTTTCCTTAAACAGAGCTTGGGAATCTTCCCATGTTTCCTTGACGGAACTAGGAACCAAATTCAGACTCCACATATTTACCACGTTAATACGGAAACGAAAAATGGACAGACAAACAGTGTGATAACTATAGGGTGACCGCTTCGAATCAAGAACTGTGATTAATAGAAGTACATTAATTGTAAACAAAATAATTGAACTTTTAATCACTTTATTATCTAAAGATGAGTTATAGTAATAACAATTGCGACGTACATATAACAGTTCAAATACGTTAAGATTTAGTTTTTTCGTTCTAATTGCCTTTAAAATACAAATCTTCAGCCAGTTTTCCTAGTCTATCCAGACCGAAAACATCATTTCCGGTTACGTTATCTATTTATCTTAAATGTACCTCTCTTACTTCCCTATTCTTCCGTTTCGGCAGTATCTCCCTAGGCACTCGTCTTCATATAAATATCGAACTACCTTAGCTCTTTCGAGGACGCTAAACTATATACAGCAGTCTTAATTACTACTGATATTTATAATTTTATATTATTACAAATGTACCTACCGAAAAAGCTTGTTTTCCTGAACCAAGTCAATGCTCCCTTCAGTCAAAAGGTTCTATACTCCAATGATGGTTCTGCGTGAATTGTTTATTCAACTTGCATGTTGATCGACGCTGAGGAAAGACATTAAGGGACTGTTAATCGCGCTTCATTGGGCACTATTATTACAATAAAATGGGCACATGGAAATATAATCCAGTCTGTAATCCACTAAAGCGTGACCGTTTCAGTCTCCAGATCTCTTCCTGGATTTGTTGACAAAACCACGGAATCCTTGCCCCCGATTACAAACCTGTAACAACAGAAATAAAACAATAACAGCATCTATTCCAACTGGCCTTGGACGCTAAGACAACTATCCGTAACTCATTGACGAGAGGCGAAAATCTGTTATTCCCGTGTAACTGCCCGCCATAGCCCACCGTTCATGGTTTAAAAAATCTGCAAGTCGCATATATAAAAAAAAAATCAATATATTACTTTATATTCTATCGAAAATATGTAACGTCCCTTATAAAATTCTCCCGTGCATCAAAAATTCATAAACTTAAAATCGAACCGCCTAAATACATAGCAGGACAGTGACCAAAGCGCGCACTTACATGTACCGGCCTACAATGCTGCATACACTACCACATATACCGACCTATGTACCGGCCTCAAATGCCGCATACACTACTACATGTACCGGTCTAGAATGCCGCATACTCTACTACATGTACCGACCTAGAATGCCGCATACACTATTACATGTACCGGCCTAGAATGCCGCATACACTACTACATATAGGACTAAGACCACAATTAATTTTACTATATGTTTCATTGTAATATTTAATTTCATAACAAATTCCCAATATCCGATAGCCAACTTTCCATCTAACCTGGTCAAGAGCAACATCTTGGGAGCAAAATATCAAAATTTCAACATAGCATGTTGGCCTTTTTCTTGAGATAATCGTCTGCAGGTGTCACCAATGTCAAAAATAAACTTCCGGGTCAGGGGTAGAGGTCAACACAGGACTTTTCACACAGCACCCTGCACCAAAAAATAAATGCCAAATATAAAAATTTGACACAGAAATTGTTAGATTGATATCTCCACAGTATTTTAACACCAAACTTTTCCACAAACACCAAGTTATAAGAGGCATAGTATAGTTTTTACTAAAGTACCTATATTTCTAAGGGACTTCATTCGTGGGTACTGAACCGGGAAGCATTTAATTGTGACCTCAGTCCTATTATAGGACTTAATTTTTTTGGATTTTTTAAAGTAAATTTTTCCTGAAACTATAAGCAATTTGGAACTTGTTGGTGAAAACCGCATAATTCTAAGACATATAAAACAGAAGTTATGATGAATTTAAAAAACCCTATCACACTGTGATTTTGTGCTGAGTTTGACAGACATTTTCTACATATATTTCTAACTACACGGGTCAGGGAAAATATCATATCTTCTGAAAAAAATATGATATTTCAATTCTGTAAAGTGATTTTGTAAAGTGGAATAATAGCATCACTTACTCAAATAAAGAGTTTACATTATAATCTTCAACTTAAGTTTTTTTAAGAATTTAAATTTAAATTTTTGCTTTAAATTTTTAATTCTTTCATTAAATGAATATTTAAACAGTGCCAAAACCATCATTCAGTCTCCATATCTACACAAAATACTCTAGAGACAATTACAATTATCATAGAGATAACTTGCACGCATGGACGCACCCACAGCCACCTGCATACACACACATAGTCAGATAGCCAGTGCCAAAGACAGGGGGTGGGGGTGAAAGGGACCTATCTCTTTGATGTTAAGGCTCTCCTGTTTTCTAAATCATCATCTGTAAAGTTGATAACTAACAAACTACATAAGAATGAGTAGACAAGTGGTCAGCATCACTCTGATTTTGGATTCTCAACACAACTGACCACTGACCACCACTACTACTATTACTACTATGAAGGGAGATTCTAAGAGGAGGAAAACTCATTTTCAACCTGGAAATATTCCCAA